AGGGACCTTGATAGGCTTGAGAATTGGTTCAGTGCAAACTGCATGAGCTTCAACAAGTCAAAATGCAAGGTCCTTCACCTGGGTCAGGCCAATCCTAGTCACAAATACAAACTAGGCACAGAGTGGGTTGAGATTAGCCCTGAAGAGAAGGATTTGGGGGTGTTTATAGATTAGAAGCTCAACATGAGCTGGTAATGTGCTCATGCGGCCCAGAAGGCCAACTGCATCCTGGGATGTATCAAGAGAAGTGTGGTCAGCAGGTCGAGAGAGGTGATTCTCCCCCTTTACACTGCTCTTGTGAGACCCCACCTCAAATACTGTGTCCAATTCTGGTGTCCCCACCATAAGAGAGACATAGATTTGTTGGAGCGTGTTCAGAGGAGGGCCACAAAGATGATCCAGGGGCTGGAGCACCTCTGCTACGAGGACAGGTTGCGGGAGCTGGGATTGTTCAGCCTTGAAAAGAGAAGACTTCAGGGGGACCTAATAGCTGCCTTCCAATACCTGAAGGGAACTTACAGGAAGGCTGGGGAGGGACTTTTTACAAGAGTGTCCACTAATAGGACAAGGGGAAATGGGTTTAAGTTGAAGGAGAACAGATTTAGATTAGATCTTAGGAAGAAATTCTTCAGTACAAGGGTGGTAAGACTTTGGAATAGATTGCCCAGAGAAGTTGTGGATGCCCCCTCCCGCGAGGTGTTCAAGGCCAGGTTGGACAGAGCCTTGAGTAGCCTGATCTAGTTGAGAGGCGTCCCGGCCCATGACAGGGAGGTTGAATTAGATGATCTCTAAGGTCCCTTCCAGCCTATGCCATTCTATGATTGTATGATTCATGGGTGAGTGTCCTACCTACTAGACATTGAGTTTAAGGGACGGATGGAAAAAATTACATCAGCTTCCTCAGAAAAATGGTCAGCCAATGATAATACAGAAACTAACCATGTTCAAAGGCTGTAAAAAGACCACCCTGTGACAGGGGAGATGCTCTCAATCAGATGGGGAGAGAGAACTTTTTCAAATACGTTTGCATTGGCTTAGATAGTCTGGATGTTAGCCAGAGCCAAACCGCTCCTGTTGCTCATAGAGAGTATGATTTGGCTTCCTCATTTTTTTTCTTCTGGGGGACCATACAGAAGTTTGAAAACACCCAGGCTGACTGCCAGAACCCAGGCAGGGAGTGTTTGTTTGTAGTCTGAATGCATTTGGGAGGAAGCCCCTGGCACGTGTACTCTTGCCTTTCCGCAGGAGGAGGCAGCAGCTCTAGCAACGAAGCTCCATGTTTACACCCACAGCCTGCTACTGCTGGGAGATTGCACTCCTGAATGCCTGGAGAGTTCCTCAGCCTACATTTCCTTCCATGTGACCTTGCAAGCCCACAGAGAGATTAAGATACAAGTCTATTGTGATTTATATACTGCAACTAGCAGCACCTCCCTATTGTCATCACAATTGTCACCTTGAGAATAACTCTGCTTTCTGCTTCTATTTTTTCCATGCAGCCTCACTTTAAAATACAAAATTTCAGTTAGGTAACATCATTCCCAGTTTGGAGAAACCCTGCAGTTTGATAAAATTAAGGCTTTAATTTGCCATGATTAGTTCTCTGTATTTAATATTATTACTCTTCCAAACTCTCTAGGCAAAGGCCTGTTTGCTTTTATTGTTTCACTTTTTTTTTTTCCCAAGCTTTAATCTCAATTTATTTTGTAATTAAAATTATACTTTAACTTTTAATGAGTAACGTGTAGGCCTTGGCAAATGTCAACATTTTGCTTTTGTAATTGAAAGTAATCTACGTTTTTCTGATACTTAAAGTCTATAGCTACATACTGAACATTTTTGTTCTTTAAAGATAGTTTTGAGTGTCCCTTAGTTGAAGTTTAAATGGTAAAATTTAAAAGTCAATGCAACTTTTAAAAGTTTTTATTAGAGAGTATCAACATCAGTACTTTTCCCTCGTCTCTTCTATTTTTTGCCAGTAGCTTTAAACAGAATGTTCAACATTTTATCTGCATTGCTGTATGAAAATCTGCAAGACAAATTGTGCATGATAAAACACATTGTGCATGATAAAACACATTGTTCATTAATCTCTACACATTTTGCAAAGTCCACGCTGACTGTTAGCGGTGCTGACTCGCCTGTGAATCCCAGTAGAATCAGTGGGAGCTGCTGTATCTTACAGTACCCAAAAAACTTGTCCCAGTATAAGCAGTGCATGGAGAGGGAAATACGTTTTGTGGGTTTTTTTCCATTCCTCAGTCTTTGTTACAGTGATCAGTATTTTTAATACTAGTAGATACTGAGTCTTTACATGATTTTTAAAGTTGGTAGAGTTCCTTCTGAGCATAAAGTTTTACAGGAATTTAGATTGCTTGATACGTTGCAGTAAATTTTTTGACTGCTTTCTCAATTAGGTGGAGCAATGTTTGGGCTAATTGGTCTTCTCATGATATTCACATGTGGTTTAGGTCTGTGCTTGGAAGCATACTAGCATGCTGACACTGTTTCAATGTAAGAAAAGTTCTGTGCTAATATTAGAGCAGAGTAAAGGCTTATAAGATTTCAATGACTTTTGTTACGAAGAATGTTGCTACTAAGCTGTCTAATTTATTCTTTTTTTCTTTATTGCTGCAGGCCACAGGCATCCAAAAATAAGGTGAGCAGCTTCTTTTTAATTGAATTTTGCTTTGTCAAAGATTGCTAATAAATGTATTTTTAATATTATTAGATATAATCTTTCCAGTTTAGTATAGAAACTGTTTGAAGTTTGGATATCTCAAAAAGTCACAATGTTCCTGTTTAATTCCAAAAATTACAGGAAATACTATCATATTTTACAGCTAGTAGCTGCAGAAAATACATGGGAGAGCAGTTATTTGCTTCAGTTAATGGAATCAAAAAATTTAAAGGAAAGAGAAGCTGCTGCTGCTTTTAAGTCAGGTATGTGTGTGTGTATGTACATGTGCATATGTTTGTTTTAAATATTATCCCGTAATGACATATTCCTATAAATACTATGAAGCTATTTCATTTGAAGCTACAGTGTTTGTTGGATTCCCACAGATTGATCCATTTGTGCAAATTTTAATTTTTTTCACCATGGCACAATGGACATACTATGTAATTTTAATTAGTCATTGATATTCAGAATTGAAATTAAAGTAATTCTAGCCTCTATCAAAAAAAGTCTTTAAATATGCATGCATTTATAGCAACCTACATTAGCTACAAAATTGTGTAAAACTAGAGATAAGATACAAAATTTGTGTGTATAAAATACAGAATCATAGAATGGTTTGGATTGGAAGGGACCTCAAAGATCATCTAGTTCCAACCCCCCTGCCATGGGCAGGGAAACCCTACACTACACCAGGGTG